TCTCTACTAAAAATACAAAAATTAGCTGGGCATGGTAGTGGGCACCTGTAATCCCAGCTACTCAGGAGGCTGAGGCAGGAGAATTGCTTGAATCTGGGAGGCAGAGGTTGCAGTGAGCTGAGATCGCGCCTGCACTCCAGCCTGGGCGACAGAGCAGGATTCTGTCTGGAAAAAAAAAAAAGAAAGAAAGAAAGAAAAGAACAGAAATTGACATGAGGGCGGGACACAGTGGCTCACACCTGTAATCCCAGCACTTTGGGAGGCCGAGGAGGGAGGATCACTTGAGGTCCAGAGTTCGAGACCAGCCTGACCAACATGGTGAAACCCCATCTTTATTAAAAATACAAAAATTAGTTGGGCGTGGTGATGGGTGCCTGTCATCCCAGCTACTGAGGAGGCTGAGGTGGAGAATCACTTGAACCCGGGAGGCAGAGGTTGCCGTGAGCCGAGATAGCACCACTGCACTCCAGCCTGGGTGACAGAGTGAGACTCTGTCAAGAAAGAAAGAGAGAAAGAGAGAGAAAGAGAAAGAGAGAGAGAAAGAAAGAGAGAGAAAAGAAAGAAGGAAAGAAAGAGAAAGAGAAAGAAAGAAATAGAAAGAAAGAAAGAAAAAGAAAGAAAGAAAAGGAAAAGAAAAGAAAAGAAAGGAAGGAAGGAATTGACAGGAGGCTAAACGAGTTTTCCTAAACAAGCCTTCATTGGAGCTTATGCACAGACATCAAGGAGGCAGCATGAGAGAGAGGGGGAGAGAGAGGGAGAGAGATTGAGATTTTTCTATCTGACTCTCTGAAAAGAGCCAGTAAGGCTTTTTATTAGGCAAAGCGTGGGAATTGACATCAGGGGTAGGGCATGCAGGCTGGGCTGGGCAAAGTAGGTGAGGGTATGCAGGTTGGCATTATCTGGTTGCCATGGTTATCTTGAGTAATGGGCCACCTTGTGGTCTGGCGGGTGGCAACAAGGCTGTCAATCAGTTCAGCATTGCTTCCCGAGGTGGGACACTCCACAACCTTGGTTTGATATTTGGATCTCCTCAGGTCAGTTCCTGGGACTCTCTTAAGTAAAAGGCATGTTTCCACATGATGACGTTGGTGAGGTCATGGTATGGGGTCTGGTGATGACTGGGAATGCGGGAAAGAATGCCGTGGTTGGGCCAGGTGCGTAGTGGGCCACGCCTGTAATACCAGCACTTTGGGAGACTGAGGCGGGCGGATCCCTTGTGGTGAGGAGCTGGGCGTGGTGGAACAAGCCTGTAATCCCAGCTACTCGGGAGAGTAAGGCACAAGAATTGCTTGAACCTGGGAGGCAGAGGCTGCAGTGAGTTGAGATTGCACCACTGCACTCCAGCCTGGGCAACAGAGCGAGACTGTCTCAAAAAAAAGAATGCCCTGGTTGGGGTGAGCTGAAGTCAGGTCCCGCTTCTGCTCTGTCTCAGTATGAACTCCCGGGGATTCACCCAGGAATGAAGAACCCAGGGCCCCTTCTCCACCTCCCTTCACACAGCTGCCTCTGCCTGAACTGACCTACCCCCCCGGCCTCCCATAAAATAAGGCAGAGACCCATGAAATTCCTCCTGTCTCCTAATTGATACTGCCTCCTTTTTCTCACACTTGGAATGAGCTCCTTATGTCTCGGATCTAATCCCCCTGACCCTTCAGTCAAGGGCTTTCTCCTGTGTCCCACACAGACCTGGGACAGCTCCCTTGTCGGACTGTGAGCTTATTAAGGGCAGGGCCAGCAGGGGATTGGAGGGAAGCTGTGATACGTTGTGACGCACCAGGCAGCCAGCACACTCTTTGCAAACTTTAACATGAATACACGTGAGGATTTCCAAGCTAAAAACTTTCCTGTAATCCCAGCACTTTGGGAGGCCGAGGCGGGAGGATCACGAGGTCAGGAGATCGAGACCACCCTGGCTAACACGGTGAAACCCCGTCACTACTAAAAATACCAAAAATTAGCCGGGCGTGGTGGC